TCCAATATTAGGAGTCAATCCGTACACATTATGCTTCCACAACACCTTCTTACCTGTATACAAAGTGAAGCTTTAACACTCTCAACAAGCTCTTAATACGCAGAAATACTTGAAGATTCAGTTTAGCAATCCATCAATCCATTCAGATACCACTGAAAGAAATCAATTGCATATGATATTTGCAATTTTTCTTTCATCTCATTTATTGACCTACTCAAGTTATTCGTCTTCTAGAAAGCTTTAACTTACACATTAGAAAATCCATAGAGACGACCAAAGCATATCCGGCGTGTCATCCCAGCAACAATCCCAATCCTAGGATGGTCAATCTTTCCCTTTTTAAAAGTTTGTAACCACAAAAATTTCTTAAAAACTCAAATATTTCAAGTATATTCCTACTTGGGAGTTTTCACTCAGGAAAATAATGGAGATTTTAACTAGAATTTTTACAAAAATTAAATTTACTTAGCTTGGATGAACAAGTGTACAGAGTCAAAGCAACGTGATGAGATGCACTTCCGCTTTCAGTCTAAAAGTCTAGCTTCCTTACTGATACTAACAAGTTTGCACTACAAATGATGGGACCAAGCAACTAAGCTTAAATACTGAAGAATAGCAAAGAGAACTCAGAAATTTACCCAAGTCAATGGCGCCAACACGTACACAAGCCTTTGTAATGTCCTGGCAGAGGGCACGGTTGAAGTTTTCATGGATACGGAGATTTGAAAGTCTCTGCACTCAGACATACATCACGTGCTACTTACCATCAGACGAGCAAATGAGACTAACAAATATCCGAAGTCTCTGCAAAATGTCGTGTAAAAGATTAACATCTTCACGGTTCGCACAACTTTGTATTAGGGACCACAACCGGGCATTTGGCGGAGCTGATCTTTGTTCCACGACACATTTCAGCATCTTGTCATACAGTTCCTTCACGGACTCTGCTTTAAAACTACGATTCAGAAATAAATATAAATATAAAAATCAAAACCACTCAAAACCATACGCGAAAACAAACTATCACCTGTCGCACTACTACTTTCAACTGCCCCTGCTTCTGTAGAAAATGATGCCTTGAGCATACTAGAGCATTTCTCACATTGACATACATTTCTCCGAATATTGCATTCTGTTTGCATATAATTTCCATTAATTGTAGTACCTGTTTATCCATAATATACCTATCTTAGGATACCGGTAAATCAAATCTGTCATTTAGCCGGAAAACAACTTTACTATAGCATTCAGGTATAGACTTGTCTACGTTGAAAATTTATTAATTAGAAAATCTTCAAATAACAATCATACTTTCTATAGATCAAATTGCACATTTCACAATTTTTGACCTAGTAAAATCCAGAAGAAAACATCCTCTTACTCAAATCAAAAATGAATAATTACCAGAGGTAAAGTAACCACGCCGTGAAGAAGAGTTGAGACATGATTCAGTAGCTTCATAGGTACAATGGGATTGAATTCGTGACACTGAATTGAGCAAAATCGGAGACGACGAGTTTCTCAAAACCCTAACGAGCTGGCGAGCCTTCAAAACCCTTTGCATTTTTGCTTTGCCTAAACCCTCACAACGTGAGTGACATGTCTACAGAATCAGGTGTTCCCCAATTTTTTTGTGTTCGTCACGTAGATCTAACCGTTCATTTATTTTTGAAGTGTGGACTTATCAAATGGTCCAAACAAGGAAGTCTAATTACCTGATCCATATTAAAAAAACCTTGTTGGGCCGGGCTGGTAGTCCATTTTTACTAGCAATTAGTAGGGGCAAGTCCATGGATAGCCATTCTCGGATGCTATTTAAAGATTAGCCGATACTTATTTGTCCTGAAATTTTAAATTAAAATTCTTAACTTCAGGACATTTTTGTCCTGAAAAATTGAATAGAAAAACTGAAATTCAGGTCGCACTGGCTACTTCCTAAATAGCAGCACTTTAGAGTGACAACCTAGTGTCATTTCTACCAATATGTGTTTATCCTTATGGGATCTTTATAGAAATAGCCGGTCGGATTTACTCTTTATTTTTTTAGTCGGTATAAATAGTTTTTATATTAATTATATATGGTTACACATATATTTCCTCCATCCCAATATATGTGAAGGTATTTGACTGGTACGAGTTTAAAAAATAAAGGGAAGACTTTTGAAACTTGTGGTCTAAAACAAATCATATAAATTATTATGGCTATAAATTATTTCACTAAGGGTAAAAAGAAAAATTTAAAGTTGAATTGTTACTAAATATAGAAAAGTATTATTCTTTTTGGGACTAATTAAAAAGAAAAGAGTATCACATAAATTGGGACATAAATAGTAATCTATGAATTATACATTATATTATACATTGTTCGACTATTTTTAGTTTAAGCGGTTGGATGGCATTTATTTAAGTTTATTCTTCTTGTCCTATTAGTATTTTGGTAAACATGAACTACGAGTAACGTACGACCAGTGGGGTAACCACACTATGCCACCTTTCGCTGAAAATTTGAAATGCGTATATAAGTCAAATACTACTTTATATGACAGTATATTATATTTTGAACACCCTTAACATAGTTGAATGAGGCAGTCCAGCGATCTAGGGTGTTCACAGTGATATGTTGTTCACGGGTTCAAAGTTATTTGCCCATTTTATTTGCCAAAATTAAACGGAGACCACCGCATGTATGATCTATTAGATTTTTTTTCAATCTAATTATATTTAAATAAAATAACTCTTAGAACTTGAAATTTATATAAAGACAAATAACTAATTATAAAAGTAGTTTTTTAATTAAAAGTTATTTCTTAAACAAATTTTACAATTTAAAAGTCAAGCTCTACAAAAATTTCGTCAACAAAAGCTCTCTGCAGGGTACATATTACAAACCCTCTCGACTCTTTTTTTTAAAAATTTTATGCTTACTTTTATCAGTAAAATTTCTATTGTTGTCTTTTTATGTTAATTTTGATTTATAAAATTATAGTTCGATTACAAGTATTTTTATTATTTAACTAGATATTGCATAGAATGATTATAAAAAAATTTGGTACACCATTTATCGACAAAAAAATTTATTGACTTATTTAAAGTTTGAACACCATTGGCGAGATTCCTGGCTACACCACTGTGCACGACACAAAATCATATCTTTTTTTTGGGTTTAAGGGATAACTAATTATATTAAGGCGTAGTAGTACAAGGAGCATTAAAAAGCATATATACTAACCTAAGGGGGCGACCCTATAGCGGGTCGTTACAAAGGGGGGTCTAGGGGAATTACTATGTTGCACCCCATGTTTTCGTACGTAAGAGTACGTCGTAAGTCAATTGATGTAAGCTCAGAAATTAGATCATCTTTGAGAGTGCATAAAGTAAGTTAATCATGTTACCTTGGAGATTACAAATCTTTAAGATCATGGATAACAAGTACCAATATGGTTGAAAGGCTAAGAAGCTAAACAAATTGAAAAAAATAAGTTTCGTCGAATGTCGACAAGTTAGGAATATTATAACGTGTACTTTTGTGATGAGACTAGGATGCTTAACAATATAAGGAGGTTATGTTATGAGTTATTTTATTCGTATGATAGTCGTATGTTTTATTTTTAAGTCAAGCAAATTGTGGAACAAAAGTTGGCAAAGGTCATCACAAGTTACATTCATAAATGTGCTAAAAATTAGGCCAAATGTAGATGCGATTTTCTCCAAATTTACTTTGAATTATAGGGTTATATACCTACAAAATTGAAGATCTATGGGTCTAATTTCTAACATATTAAACCGTTCATTGATACGACATCATAGTAGAGAGATATTCGCATTTGCGGGAGACTGTGCCAAGAAGCTCTCTATGGGACCCACAATGGCGGTTGAGATATATTGATATATATAAGACGCCTCAACCCCGTTTTAACTCATTATTTTTCAGTATCTTCAGACCCTAGACACCTAAAAATACCCTCTCAAGGTTTTATCATGATCCAAGACCCAAACAAAGGGCAAACAACACAAATCAAGTGTCAGGAATCCCGTCGCGCTAGTAAGTTTCTTGTTCTTCTTGTTGTTACTGATTTTTGGGTGGTTCCAGCTCATATGGGAGGTTGTTTTAAGTGGTTTAAGTTCTGTAAAATACTCTCCCATGGTTTTCATATCAACCCTACGTTATTTCAAGTCTTGCAAATGGATTACACCATATTTCAACATCAAAAGCTAGTTCTAGTGAAAAACAACACCTCTTTGAGGTTGTGTTGTCATTGAGGATAGTTGTGGGCTGTGTTTGGCTAAAATTTTAAGTTGTTGCTACTGGCTAAGGTGAGTATAATATACTACTAATTGTGCTTAAGCTTGCTTGGATGTTGGTTAAGTTGTTAGGATGATAAACTATAAGATAATACTTGGATTAGCTTAAGTCACTTCTATGTTATTGTATTGCCATTGAGGGATATTGTAAGCTAAATATAACTTGGATTTAGACTTGAAACTACTGTAGGAGGTATTTGTATTGTGTTCTTGCATGTGCTTAAGGTTATCTTGATGTTGATTAAGTTAAATGGATATATTAGACACGAACAAATGAATAAAGTTGCTAATTGAAGATAGTTGGAGTTGTGGATTGTTTCTTTTGTTATAAATATATGATACAAGGATGGAATCATTGATTAATTACTTCATTGTCATGTTAATAATGTTGTTAAGTTAATGTAAGAAGACTATAAGGGGTGATAATGGGGTTGAAGGGTGCTGAAGGGATTCAATCCGAGCTTGCCTCTCGTCGTTATATGTTGACGACTTGTTAATGAAATATTTTGTACCCTATTTTTAATGTTGTTCTTATTGTATTGCTCCGGTTTTTTTGTTGGTATATGGTATTGGAGGAGGCCCTTGTTACAGAGGAGATGTTGTACAAATTTACATAAAATGAGCTACTAGCTTAAGTTACAGACTTAGCCTTTATCCACCCCACCACCACCCACCCTACCCCTGCCTTCTTTTCCTCTCTCTATCTCTCTCTCTCTCTCTCTCTCTCTCTCTCTCTCTCTCTCTCTCTCTCTCTCTCTCCTGCTTTCTTCTTCTTCCCCGTTACTCCCCTCCCCCCCCTTTTTGTTTCCAGATCTGCCCCCTTTTTTATATTTCCCTTTTCTTCTTCTCCTTTCTTTCTCTCCCTTATACCTCGTCTCTTCCACCCCTCGCCTCCCTATTTTCTGGCGCACTGATCTAGCCTTGCAGTGGTGGCGGTGGCAGTTGAGATAATTTTTCGGTGAGCCTCGAGCGAAGTGGGCGTGAACTTCCAAAACATAGTTGTTGTGGATAACACCTTTCTCGACACTTGTGGTGACTTCAGGTTCTATTGTTCTTGCTTCGAATTTACTATTCTACTCGCGGGTTGGTACCTCCCGTTTTCCAATTTCCTTTGTTGTGTGAGTTAAATTACTGTCATCTTACTTCGTACTAGTTTATTTACCGTATTAGTGTATCTGTTGTTGCAACTTGTCTTCTTCTAGTTTGGTATGTTGCCTTGTGTGTGATAGTGATTCCCCTTACTCTGCCGTAGGTATAGTGGCTTTGGTCTGGGATGGTCGAGTGAGGTCATGTCCTCAGGGGGAACGGGGGGTGGGGCGGGAGTTAGGGCAGGGTTTAGGGGGTGGGGCGAGAGGCAAGGGAGGTAAAGGGAACAAAGGTGTCTGTAGGTTGAGAATTGGTTCATAGAACGTAGGTACATTGACAGGTAAATCTATAGAGTTGGCGAAGATCCTCCAGAAGATGAGGGTCAATATAGCATGTGTCCAAGAGACAAGGTGGGTGGGGTCGAGGGCGAGGGACGCAGACGGTTATAAACTTTGGTACTCAGTAGTCCAAAAAGGTAAGAATGGAGTGGGCATCTTGGTGGATAGGGAACTTAGAGAGTCTATTGTTGAGGTTAGACGAGTGAATGATAGATTGATGATTATTAAGTTGGTAGTTGGAGAGTGCACCCTAAATGTCGTTAGCGCCTATGCGCCGCATGTGGGCCTAGATGAGGAGGTTAAATGGCGCTTCTAGGAAGGGTTAGATGAGATTGTGCGCCAGGTTTCGCCTGCTGAGAAGTTATTCATAGAAGGGGATTTCAATGGGCATATTGGGTCGACCGCAGGTGGTTATGGCGAGGTGCACGGAGGCTTCGATTTTGGGGAAAGGAACAGATGAGGTACATCGTTGTTGGACTTCGCTAAGGCTTTTGGGTTGGTGATTGCGAACTCTAGCTTTAGGAAGAGGGATGGGCATTTGGTTACTTTTCAAAATACGGTGGCGAAGACTCAGATTGACTATCTCCTCCTCAGGAGGTGTGACAGAGGGTTGTGCAAGGATTGCAAGGTGATTCCGGGTGAGATACTCGCGACGCAGCATAGGCTCTTGGTGATGGACGTTGGTATTATGTTGAAGAGGAGGAAAAGGTCAACTCGAGGGAGACCGAGAATCAGGTGGGGAGCCTTAACTAAGGATAAAGCCCAAGCGTTGGAGGGGTGGTTGTCGGCTATGGGAGCTTGGAGGAGAAGTGGTGACGCGAGCACCATGTGGTCAGCG